TGAGCAATTCAAGATAGCATACGGTGTAAGGGAAAACATGTGCATTGTTTCGGATAGAAATGAAAGCATCATTAAATCTGCATCGAGAGTGTATCCGGATGTACCGCATTGTGCTTGCATATGGCATCTATGGAATAACGTATACAAGAAATTCAAAAAGAGCCATGCCAAGTTGAGTGAGATATACTTCTCGATGGCAAAAGCATACACACAAACTGAATTTGATAGTCTGATGGAGAAGGTTGAGAAGGTAGATATTAGGGTGAAAGAATACTTAGAGTTAGCTGGTTACGAAAAGTGGGCTAGGTTGTATGCACTTGTTAACAGGGGATGGACAATGACGTCAAATATCGCTGGGTCAATCAATGCAGCACTAGTTTCAGCAAGGGAATTGCCAATATATGACTTCCTCGAAGAAGTTAGGAAGATGTTTGGTCGTTGGAATTGTAGTAACCATAAAGAAGCTACTCAGACATACAAGACGCTTGGAAAAAAATACCAGGAAATGCTGGAGTTGAATGAGACCATGTGTACCCGTATGACTATAAGTTAAATTTTTATGGCATTGCTGTATACAACTGAATACAATTTTTTTTAGGCAGAACTACCCGTTAATTTTTATGAATATTTGCTTGAACTAGTAAATAATATAGATGAATACAGGTAAATACATGTGATTATTAAGACTGTATGCACGTGATAATGAATACAATGGAATTCAGGTGATTGATACAGTTTAAATTGATTGGAAATACCTGAATACAGTTTCTCAAAAAAGGTTGAATACAAATGCATACAAATACAGACTGTAGATCATTACACAGTAATACAGTTGAATACAGTTGCTGGAATCAGCTGAATTTAACTGAAATTGGATGAAGTTGCAATTGTCGAAGTTGATAGTAACCATTTAACTCAGTAGTATGTATATATTTGTTAATTCATGTAAATGTGTTCAAAACTTATATTTCTGTTTTTAAATGTAGGTAGTACCCTCAACTGAATACTTACATATTGTTAACGATGGTGGGAGGAATTACACAGTCTGCCTGCTCGAGAGAAAATGTGTTTGTGGGAGGTTCCAAATTGATGAATTGCCATGCCCACATGCTTGGGCTATATTGAAGAGCNTGGGCTGTATTGAAGAGCAAGTTTTTAATGCCTGAAGAATATTGCTCTAGCTATTACAAGCCAAGTACAATTGTAATGACATACGATGTGCCAGTGTACCCGCTACCGGACAAAAATGACTGGAATATACCAGAGCATGTTGCAGAGGAGGTTGTACTACCACCCAAATGGAAAAGACCTCCTGGAAGGCCAAAGAAGAAGCGCGACAAAAATTTAAGTGAATTGTTGTTGCCGAAAAATCAACATTCATGTAGCATATGTGGGCAGGGAGGACATAACAAGCGAACTTGTAGGAATGCTCCACGTAATAAATAGTTGTATTCTGACATGTATTGGTGATTCGACAATTTCTCAACACTTATTATGACATTATCAGCTATAATAAATTCTTTTTTCGAAGTAATATATTGTGGAATGACTTTCGTTAATATTTTTGAATTTATTTAGTTGAAGTATTTTTATATATATAAATATATATGAAGTGGCTGTGAGAGTATCTTAGTATAGTTGAATACAACTATATCAATTCCTTAATACAGGTGAATACAACATTTTGAATATAGTTGAATATAGGTTAATAATACAGTTTAATTCAATTGACTTTGGAGGAATACACTATAATACAGTTGAATACAGATCTGGACAGATGGTTGAAACAGTTGAATTTAACTAACATTGGATGAATATAGGTAATTCAATTGTTCAATATATTTGAATACAACATGTTCAATAATGTTGACTATAGGTTAATAATACAGTTCAATTAAATTGACTATAGCTGAATACATATGAAATCAGAGAAAAATACAGCTGAATAATACAACTACATACAAGTTAATAAATATAACTTGTATTGTTTCAAGTCAATTCAAAGTTATATCTGAATGGATGCAGCTGAATATACTTGCATACCAACTGTAGACAACTGATAAATATATTTTAATACAACTGAATTGAACTGAATAATATAGATTAATACAATCAGCTAAACAGAATAATACAACTAAATACAACTGCTTAATACTGAAAGATAAAACAGATCTTATGCAGCTGAATACAATTCAAAAATTGGCATTACCAAAAATCATTCAGCATACTTCCTCAAAGAAGATACTTCCTCATTTTGGCCTTCTCGGAGCTGATGGTCATGCACAAGTTTATGTCCAATGTCAGAAACACAAACAGGAGGGACTTTGGGTTGATATTCTGGTTCTTTTGTAGGAATCTTAGGTTGTTCCTTGACTTTCTTATGTGGCGGTGATGAAGATGGACCAACACTTTCAACATGTTTCTTCTTAGATTGAAGATTGGGTGTAGGAGAAAAGTCATCCGTATCCTATCCCGATTTGTCTGAATGCGCATGAGTAGGTATTTTCACAATATCGGCGCACACTTGAGGAATCTGAATAACAGCAAGCTCTATATCTAGAGGAGTGATGTCCTTAAACACAATCTGTGAACAAAAATAAGATATGACGTACAAAAAATATATTAATGCATAACTGTATAATGCTATATTCAGGTGTATTTAACTCTGTTGTATTTAGAATGTATTAAAATGTATTAATATGTATGCAAGTATTCATGTATATAAGCTTATGAATCCAATGTATATTACAGTAGGCTTCCCCTCTAACTGAATGCAAATGTATGCAAATTATAGATGTATTTGTGTTCAATTATCTTCAGAATATTGATAACATTTGTATATTACCGTGTTTCCGGTGTCTTTGAACATGTCGTTCGTCAGATAAGAAAATGTTGGCTGATTTCCGGTGGTTCTCCAATTGAGTATTCTGGGGACCACGTCGCAGACTCGGACTGCAATTTTGGAATCAACAGAAGAACAGCACTCATAAAACCACACCTGCATAGCTAGGGGCATCCCAGCTATCCTGTAATACTTCTTCAAAACATCCATCTTCTTGCTAATCGAGTTTATCAACAGCTCAAATGCTTTAATACCCCAATGATATTCAGAATAGCGCCCACTCTCTACTAAGTCAAAATCTAGCCTCGGTATAGTTGCACTATTCTTCTCAGATGAAAATATAAAGGTGTGGATGAAATACAACAAAGATATCTTCAAAGCATCCTCATCATTGTCGGGGCCCCATGCCTTGTCATTGAAGCATTGTCTCAAGTGTTTCTTCTTTACAATATTAGCACTTCCAAAATAAGTCGCAATAAGCCGGTTAGGAGGAGTTTCACTAAACTCAAAATCTTCATCTTTACCTACACATTTGAGGCCAGTCACAAGCGCAAACTCCCTTAATGTGAAATGTAATTCAGTACCATTGACGTATACTGCAAATACATTGTTTGGAGTGCCGTTTAACTGTCGAGCCATGAAGCATCTGAAGAGTTGATGTTGAACAGCAAATCGCTTCATTTGAAGAAATGAGCCAAAGCATATATTGCCGAATTGTTGGAACTGATCGGGAGTAAGCTTATCTTTTAGCTGGGATACTATATCAGTGTTAGTGTAACTACTAATATGGGGTGCTAATTTTGGCTGGTGTTTCACAAACAAATCAATTCCTGCAATGAACATTGAAAGATACATGTTAATACAGATGAATACATTACAAAAATACATATTAAGTTTTTTTGGAATACATGTAAGACATGATACAGTGACAAGGCTAAATGCATGTCAGACAACTACAAACACTTACAGAAGACTAGATACAGTGACAAGGCTAAATATATGCTAACATACTTTGTAACATACAGATATAATACAAAATATTTAAGATGAATACACCTGAAAACATATGAATGCATACGAATACATTTGAGGTCAAACTGGACAATTGAATTATCGCAAATATACATTAGCAAACGCTAAATACACATGAATACATATGAATACAAGTAAAATTACATTAAAATGAACTGTTGGAAACAACCAAATACACATGAATACATAAACATACTATAGAAGATTCAGAATACACTATACAAAAAGGTACAAAAATACAAGAAGAGACATATGAATACAACAGAATACATGTAACAAATACCCCTTACCTTTTTGTTTCTTGAATCTTTCATAGGTTTTTTCCTCTTTGAGCCAACTTGATTTTTGGTTTCTTTTGAAGCTTCATCAACTTGGACTTCTTTCAACTTGTCATTGTGTAATTTACTTCTTCTTTCATCAACTTTGGATAATGATAAACCTGCAAAATCTTTCTCCACTTGAGTCAGTTGCAACGAGAAAGAAGGCCCATCAAAATTGAGAATTTTGGTGGGTATACCTCTGGGTAGTCTGTTGAGTGGCGTTGCATCCGACATTAGAGAGAAAACTCAAAGAATCTTGGTGATTAACAATACAAATGGAAGATATATCAGAAAATTGTGTAAATTTGCTAAAAAAACTTATAGAAACAAACTAATGAAAAAGCAATTTTGAAGTAGTTGAATTACCTACGGGGAGAAGATTTCCAAAATACAACTGTGAAGCTCTAGAAAACACTTGAGAACCAACTTGCCCGTCAAAATACGCTTGAGAACAGTTGCAAAGAAGAATGGCGTGTGGGGTGATAATGGCGGAGAAGTATAGGCGATAATGGCAGAGGAGGGTTTTTGAAGTGTATGGAACGTGTATTTGTGGGAGAAGAGGGAAAAGTGTATTGAAGAAGAGAGAGAAAAGCTGATGAGAGGAGATATACGCAAATTAGGTGAGAGAAAATAAAAAAAAATGAGATAGAAAAATATTTTGTAGCATATATTAAGCCTTAATTTTAGGATGGAACTAAATTGAAATTTTTTGCTATAAACTAAAAAGGGTATTTATAGAATGTAATATTTTAAAAGGGTATTTATAGAATATAAATAGGGTACTAACCTATTCTATAGGTGGTAAAATTTCCAAAAATAAATCGGGTAAAAAAAGGAGATGGGTCTCTTTAATCCTGATATGCCACATGGAAGCCTGACCAATTAAGAGGCATATTTGAATATATATATATCTATATCTATATTAAAGGAATAAAGTTACCATATATAATTAGCATTGTGATTAAGCCAAGTGTCAAGTTATTAACAAGCCAAGTGGCAATTTATTGAAAAGCCGCTTGACAACCTTATTAAATCAAAATTAAAATATATGTTGTACTACACGGATTTTTCGGAAAACAAATATTCAATCATCCCATTTTTATCGATTCTTCTATAGAAAATTTCCTTTACATAAAGTTAATTGTTATTTTTTTTAGGATTAATAAATTAAAAGGTACTGAAAATAAGAAAACACCAAAACTTAAACAAAAGAATCGTACATATATTTTTTATGCCTTCTTATCGTTATCTCTTCCTAAAACATTTCCCAAATGATAATTTATATCTATATTAAAGGAATAAAGTTACTATATATAATTAGCATTGTGATTAAGTCAAATGTCAAGTTATTAACAAGCCAAGTGGCTATTTATTGAAAAGCCACTTGGCAACCTTTTTAAATCAAATTAAAATATATGTTGTAGTACACAAATTTTTCGGGAAACAAACATTCAATCATCCCATTTTTATCGGCTCTTCTATAGAAAATTTCTTTACATAAAGTTAAATGCTAATTTTTTTAGGATTAATAAATTAAAAGGTACTGAAAATAAGGAAACACCAAAACTTAAACAAAAGAATCGTACATATATTTTTTATGCCTTCTTATCGCTATCTCTTCCTAAAACATTTCCCAAATAATAATAATAATAATAATAATAATAATAATAATAATAATAATAATAATAATCTATCTATATATTTATTAAAGAAATAATGTTTGCACTATGGTTAAGTGAAGTGACAAGCTACTATAAAGTCACTTAGCTAAGGATATAGCCCACTGTCCTATCTCAACTAATAAATTAAAATAAAATTAAATTTAAAGGTAAAAACAACACCCCAATCTTAACCAATTATGAAGATATATATGGAGATATTATCAACACATACTATTGTTGCTCCTAATATTAAATAATCTATACATATATTACAGAAAATAAAGTTTGCACTATAATTAAACCAAGTGAAAAGTTACTATAAAACAACTTAGCAATTTAGAATAATATTTATAATAATATTTAATTAAAATTGAAAGGTAAGGTTTTATTTTTTTGAATTTAAATGGAAAGATAAAAAATAAGATTCTTTTAAATATGAACAGAAAGAAAGCGAATATTTTTTCTAAGGATATAGCCTACTTCCCTATCTTAAGTAATAAATTAAAACAAAATTAAATTTAATGGTAAAAGCAGCATCCCAATCTTAACTAATTATAAAGATATAAATGGAGGTATTATTAGCACATGCCACTGTTGCTCCTAAGAAGAAGAAAGAAGAAGAATACGAAAAATAAGAATAATCTATGTATTTTCTGTCTATTATTTCTTAAATAAATTGATTCAATTCTTTTTCAAGCTTTTAAATTGAAAAACAAACAAACCAAATCTTATCCAAGCTTTTCAACAGGAAAAGAAAACTCCAAGGACAAAAACAACACCTCAAAATTTTGGTGAAGTATAAAAAAATATGAGTAGATGCTCTTCTATTTTTTCTATTATTGGATTAAACATAAAATAAAATAACTCTATAAGATTTGATAGTAGAAAAATTAATATACAAAGAGGTAGTAGAAATAGTGTAAGAGAATTTATAATTGTAAGAAAGTTAATAAATAAATAATAATGAATAATATTATTAATAAATTTAAATATTAGTATGAGTAGTAGAACACGAGAATAAAAATAAATAAAAAAGTTATTACAATTAAAAGAAAAGTCAAATTCATCTATAATATATTATAATACGAGTAATGAACAAGGATATGAACTATTCTAAGTTATGGTTAATATAATAATATGAACAAAGCATTAAAAAAAAAGAGAAAAATATGTAAATAAATAATTTTAGTGTAGAGATATATAGACCTGAAAAGAGAAAATCTTTTAATAATGAGAAAAGACATACTATATGGATAAGATATACGTATTTGAGAATGCATATATATAGATAAAATTAAAACCAAAATCATAGACAATTGACATAATTTCAAGAAATAAATTAGAAATATAAAAATATATAATTTAAATTCTTATGTAAATAATTTTAATAAAAAAATTAAAAGTTAAACTTCATTACAAATAAAAGAATTGTATAAAATTTTATTGGAAGAGAAATAATATAGAAAGAGGGGATAGAGATATTGTGAGAAAATATACTTTAAATTAATTTAAAACATAAATCTATATGTTTTGTTCAATTAACATTTCAGGTTTGAAAATCAAGATGTGTGATATATATAGTTTGGATTTGAACAATTTTAGGCGATTCTCAATAAGACAATGGTCATGGACATGCAGTTTGGTTCAATCATTTTAATGCAACTCTTATAATATTAGAAGGAATTAAATTAACCATAAATGTGCATAAGAAGAGGAGGAACTTATGGCAGGCTATACATCAATTTATTTTGTGAGGATAATATAAGTATGAAGCCACTCAGGCATCAGCTGAATTAAATATCAATTGCGTTATCTTACGGTGAAATTAATATCCAAAATTTTATAGTTTGTCTTATATCTCAGTTGTTTGAAAGCAATATGTATACTTTTTAGTTTTTTTTAATCGATGCTAGCAGTTGCTATGCTAAATTAGATAGGAAATGGGAGTATGGATTCTTTTTTGATAGCTCAGGTATGGATTATACTTTTTAGTCAGTTGTTAATATTTATGCTCTCATAAATTATTTTAACCAATTGATTGAGCAACTGTTGAGGTCGGTATATACGTGTAAATTAGAATGGAATAGATTTGAACAGAGTGAACATATAGAGGGATATTATTGTATTATTTGGAATTGCTATTTACACATAATAAAGCGAATTACAAAAAGTAAAAGTTTTAGAAATTGAAATATCAAAATAGAAATATTTTTTGAAAGATAAAATCATACCAAATAAGAGTTCAAATCGTAGTATAAGAGTCACGTCGTAATCAAAGAATCGTTTATATCGTGTGAACCTTTGTGCTTTCAAATATGAGTTATTATTTCACTTTGTGGCTATTTTTAGGTTCCAATGATACCTATGAAAATAGTGCAAAAATAAAATTATCATTATGAGAATTGAGAAAATGTTAGTCTTTTTTTCATGTAATGTTTCTTAATTAATATCTGACGATTATCTATAATTATTTAGAAGGTTTAAATGTTAAGGTTATTGACATATAATTCAAATAACTCAGATATTTAACATGGTTAATGTCAAATATCAAAATGGAGTAAAAAAATTCATTAGCTAAAGAATTTTTTATATTTTTTGATAGTCAGCTAAAATGAGTTTCGAATTAAGAATAATATTTTCAATTACATTATTATAAAAAATAATTATTATTGAAAAATAATGTTTTAGAAACTGAAATTTTAAGAAAGAAATATTTTTTAAGAGATATCAACACACCAAATAAGAGTTCAAGTAGTAGTGAAAGAGTTAAGTCTTATCCAAAGAGTCTTTCATTGTCTCAACATTTAATTATTCTGCCATAAATATGAGTTATTATTTTGCTTCCTGACTATTTTTAGGATCCAATAACACCGGCAAGAATAGTATCAAAAAATAAAAATAGAAATGGTTAATATTTTTCATGTAATTAATATCCAATGATTATCTATATATTTACTGAGAAAGTGTAAATTTTAATATTATTTAACATACAATCCAAATAACTTAAATATTTGACATGATTAGTGTCCACGCATCCTCGCGGGTACTAATACTAGTGATAGTATAACGGTAGCGGCTGATATGACCAAATAGTATAACGGAGGGTATCTTTAAACATTTTTCAATAGTACAGGGATATATTTGACCCTTTCTCCAAATAAAAAATCACTACTGATCCGTTGGTGGGTAAAAAATGACTATATATTACATGGTTCCTTTTCTTGAAATGTCTAATCGCAAGAGGCAACTGCTAGTGCTACACTAAGATAATTTGAGGTTCCACTTATGTACATTCTGTATGTTTCTAACTCGTGCTGATAACCCCTGGGAGCATGACCACCATAGTAATTCTCGCTAAGGTGACCATGCTTGGTGAATATGATCTCTCTCAAGGTTGGTTCATGGCCATTTAGAAGATTTCCCATGCTTAACACTTTCCTCCACGATTGGTTAGCAGTGGGTGTTGTTAACATGCTTGCCGCTATCTCCCTTTCACGTCGCCCAACTTTTTGTTTCTTTTCGAAATCCTAAGAGATGGACGAAAGTCTTAAGCAAATAACAAGGTAAAAGAGAGCTGTGTAAAGTGGACTAGTCCATGGAAATAATACAAGAAAACAGAAAGGACTGGCCATGAAGGCTAAAGTGATGGACCAAAAGTTGTACGCCTTCGAAGTAGTTCAGCACAAGCGTTACATATTCTTGACCCAGATATTGATCTCTCATTCATGAAAAATCAAAAGAGAAAACACATTAAGTATACCTTTTTTACTTCGCTGGCAGTTGAGCCTGTTCCCATTCTTGGTGCATAAAAGTTGTAGCAATCATTGAAAATTGATTCTAATAGACGCGGTGCATTCATGAACTTGATATAAAAAGATGCAGCAAGTGTTATCAACTTCTCGACATGTTCAAATATTGCACAAAGCCGCTTCAAGTCTTGAATATCTTCAGTGTCAATAGAAAGATTACTTGCTGTAACACAGAAAGCCAAAACTGTCCAGTTACAAGCTTGCAAAGACCTACTACAACGCAATAACATACTTGGTTGACAAGTTTACTTTGCAAGCATCTGAGAGTGGCTGCCATAGTGAGGTTAAGTTGTCCAATTTTGGTTGTCAGCTGCTTTAAACCACCAAATGTTGTTCTGTTTAGTGTGTCTGCAGCTGCCCTAAAAGCAGTACAAACCATTTGTTCCAGTAGTTGACACGGCCGCAGTGTTTCCAAATAGTGAAGAACCTATCAGTTGAAGAATACAAATTACTTTCAACCAAATCAAGAGATCAATGTAAACGGCATTGGCTGTCTAAAGACCAACTATTGGAGATGAGCGCCTGCTACTTCGTGGTAAAAAATCTAAATACATGTGTACTCCTAGGTCTTTACTTTTAAGATCCTAATAAGAGGGCAGAAGGTTGCTCCAGTGGGCAAATGACTGCATGTCACATCCCTTGAACAATATCGCCATATTTGTCACGACGAAACAAGACACCATGTGGGGAAAATCAATCCCCTACCGGCGGAATTTGGCCCAAATTTTATATCCCCAATTCACTGAGCAACATGCAAACGATAATGTCCATTATGGGTGTCTTACCTGTTAGAAAGCACGGTTGAAATTATATTATTGATATTCTGTTTAATTATAATACAATGAACCCTATTTATACAAATACATATCCTACTCCTATTCTATGTGGGACTAGGACTAATTCATTTTATTTACATAAATATCTAGCACTCCTCCTCAAGTTGATGCATACAGATCATATGTACCGAGCTTGTTACATATGAAACTAATACGCGGACCAGTGAGAGACTTGGTAAAAATATCTGCAAGCTGGTCATTCGACTTCACAAACTTCGTAGTAATATCTCTTGAGAGTATTTTTTCTCTGACGAAGTGACAGTCAATCTCAATGTGTTAAGTTTTCTCATAAAACACCGGATTTGATGCAATATGAAGGGCAGCTTGATTATCACACACAAGTTCTATCTTGCTGATCTCGCCAAATTTCAACTCCTTGAGCAACCGCTTGATCCAAACTAGTTCACATGTTGCCATAGTCATTACTCGATATTCTGCATCTGCACTAGACTGAGCAACCACATTCTGTTTCTTGCTCTTCCAAGATACCAAATTACCTCCTACTAAAATACAATATCAAGAAATAGAACGTTTATCAGAAGGTGATCCTGTCCAATCAACATCTGAGTATCCAACGATCTGCTCATGGCCTCGATCTTCAAACAATAATCTTTTGCCCGTAGCAAATTTTATATACCGAAAAATGCGGACAACTGCATCCCAATGACTATCACAGGGAGAATCCATAAACTGACTTACAACACTCACAGGAAAGGAAATGTCAGGTCTAGTCACTGCGAGGTAATTTAATTTACCAACCAGCCACCTATATCTTGCAGGATCGCTAAGCGGTTCCCCCTATCTTGGCAGAAGTTTAGAATTCGGGAGTGTCAACGGGTCTATAACCTATCATTCCTGCCTCCTCAAGAATGTCCAAGACAAGCTTCCGTTATGAGATCACAATACCTGAGCTAGACTAAGCGACCTCAATACCCAGAAAATACTATAATCTGTCCCGATCTTTAGTCTGAAAGTGCTGAAAGAGATGGTTCTTCAACTTAGTAATACCATTCTGATCATTACCAGTAATAACAATATCGCCAACATAAACCACCAGATAAATACAGAGATTTGAAGCAGAATGCCGATAAAACACAGAGTGATCAACTTCACTACCAGTCGCCAAACTCCTGAATAACGGTGTTGAACTTACTAAACCAGGCTCCAAGAGACTACTTTATACCGTAGAGGGACCGGTGCAACCGTTATACAAGGCCACTAGTAGAGATGGCAAGGGCAGGGTTGTTACGATGCGGGTTCAATATTAACCCGCAAAAATTTAACTTGCCCCGCCCCGCCCTGCAAAATTTTCAGTTTTCAACCAGCCCCGCTAACGTTTTATTTCGTTTTGCTTTTATGCGTGAAATGTATTAGATTTGCGAAATATTGTTTGGAGCAAAGTATCGGATTTGGGTCTCGTAGACTTCCTTTAGGCTACTAATTCCCCATTAAACTACTTTTTTCATGCAATACCATTATTAACTTATACCGCACAATATCCAAATAAACAATTTCGTTGATGCTAACACTAATAAAAAAATGTAGATAATAATTAAATGATACTATAAAATTACTTCGATTCCAGAAATTCTAATTATTTAGATATAATTAATTGATAAGTGTTTGGAATATGATTTTGTCTTATTTTTATTTTTATTTTATTAAGGCTACGCCAGTACATAAGTACAAGTGCTTATTTTATCATTTTGTTTGAAATATCATCATACTGAATTGTTGCATATAATAAGTTTTAATATTTCTCATTTCATGATTTTTACAAATATAAACGGGATCACAGATGATTACTGTCATTGTTGTCAAGAAAACATTTAAAGTTGTGTATCTTTGACACCAGAATAAGCAGCCTTTCCTCCCAATCTAGTCTAAGAAAATAAAGAAATCAAAGAACAGAAGTACGTAGAATGAGTCTTAAACATTGAAAAATATATGACGTGTCAAATACGAAACATAATAGCAACCATTCTTACCACCCGCAACCGTTCCGCCCCACCTGAATATTAAAAGAATTTTTTTAACTTGCCTCACCCCGCCCTGCACTCGGATATGCTCAAACTCACCCCGCCCCATTGCCATCCCTAGCCACTAGATTTCCCCTGAGCACCAAAACCAAGTGGTTGTTCCATATAAACCTCATCCTTAAGGCTATCGTGAAGAAAAACATTCTTAATGTCCAACTAATAGAGAGGCCAATGGCGAACAACAATCATGGATAGAAAAAGGTAGGCTGATGCTATCTTAGCCACATGAGAGAAAGTATCACTATAATCGAGCCCAAATATCTGAGTATACCCTTTGGCAACAAGACGAGCCTTAAGTTGATCAACCTGGCTATCTGGACCAACTTTGATTGCATACACCCAACAACAACCAACAGTAGATTTACCTTAAGAGGAACAAGCTCCCAAGTACCACTCGTATGTAAAGCAGACATCTCGTCAATCATAGCCTGTGCCATCCTGGATGAGACAGTGTTTCACCTGTAGATTTAGGATGAAAACAGAGGACAAAGATGATACAAGCGCATAATGTAATAACTTAAACCGACATGGGGATTAGAATTAAGTGTGGACTATATATCTTTCCGAAGTGCAATCGGCGGACTAAGTGGAGACAAGTCTACAGTATGAGCAGGGTCATGTGCAGGACGTGAATCAGCTGGGCCTGATGCTGGGCGCGGATGATGATGATGATAAGTCAGGAGTGATGGAGCTGTAGAAGGTTGAACTGGACTAGGTGATAGAACTGGAGCTATAGGTGGTGGAGTTGGAACTGGAGCTGTAGGTGGTGGAGGAAGATGAATGGGAGATAGTGATTGAATCTCCAAGAGATGGAACTGGTAGCACTTCATAAATATCTAAGTAATCGCTTGGATCTATGAAGTATGATTGGGTAAAGAAGGTAACATCAACAAACGTAAGGTACCGCTGGAGGTCAGGTGAATAGCATCAATATCCCTTTGAGGAGCTAACTTATCTTTTCCTGGAGTAAGGGTATGAACAAAACACTTGCTCCCAAAGATACAGGGTGGAAGAAAGAACAAAGGTGAGTGGGAAAACAAGACAACGAATAGAACTTGATTCTGGATAGTTGAGGGTGGCGTATAATTAATAAGATAACAAGATGTGAGAACTGCATTCGCCCAAAAACGCAACGGAATATGATGTATGAGTAGGGTACGAGCAGTTTCAGCAAGATGTCTATTCTTTCTTTCAGCTACCCCATTTTGTTGAGATATGTACGGACAAGATATTTGATGAATGATTCCATGATAGTTCATAAACTGCTCAAATAGGGAAGACAAATACTCTAGGTGCATTTTTTTTTATCAAAACTATCCAAGTGCACCTAGAGTTATCATCAATGAAACTGACAAAGTACCGGAATCTCAAGGTAAAACTGACCCGACTAGGACCCCAAACATCTGAATGGACTAAAGTGAAAGGTGACTCTATTCGATTATCAAGAAGTTGAGGAAAATGGGAGCGAGTATGGTTACCGAGCTAACATGACTCACATTCTAGAGTGGACAAGTGAGATAAACCAGGTACCATTTTCTGAAGTTTTGATAAATTGGGAAGTCCCAACCGTTTATGTAATAAATCTGGTGAATCACTAACAGGACAAGTGGTAGGAAGACAAGATGTGACTCCATGTGATTTAGCAAGGATAAGGTAACAAAGTCCATTTGCTTCACGTCTGATACCAATGATCCACCCCGTACTGCGTTCCTATATAAAAACAAGGTCATCAAGAAACAAACGGAGCTTTTAAGTGATTTGGCTAAGCGGCTAACGGCTATGAGATTAAAAGGACTACCGAAAACATAAAGAACTGAATCTAAATGTAAGGAAGGAAGTGAACTTGCTTGACATATTCCAGTTGTCATGGTTTGAGAGTCGTTGGCCATTGTGACTGTTGGAAAAGATTGAGAATATGAAATAGTAGTGAAAAGAGATTCGTTACCAAAAATGTGATCAGATGCATCTGACACAAGAATCGGAGGATGAAGATTGGGAGACACAAGTCACGCTTTACCTGTTTGAACAACGGAAACTATCTCTAAAGATGTTTGTTTACATGCTTTGTACTGAAGGAACTCAATATAATCCAGTAGAGAAAACATCCAACTATTCATAGTATTGGATCTCATTTCATTACAACAAATTTCTCAAATTCTTGACTAAAACTTGTAAGGTTAACCTTAGAATGCCAAATCAGAACAAATTAAGCTGGAAAACTGAAGAAATATCTAGGAGAACATTGTTCACAACAAAAAAAGGTACTATTCAAGGCAGAATCACTGTTCACACGGAAAAGTGCACTACTCACGCCGGGAAAAATTAAAGTTGTCAAAACATGATGTAATTTATATGGGTAAGCTCGGAATAACAGAATGATTAAACTGTCCTAAAGAAACTTTGTCAAAAAACGGCCGAAAAACACCTCATGCGCAAGTGAGTAAGTCGGAGTCTCGCTGGAAAATATTCTGCCGACGGCGCGTGAGAGCGCGTGAGAGGGGCTCTGCCGGAGAAATGTTTACGGGTTGGTCGTCGAAAGCTGATCTACCTCGTGGCAGTATTGGTTTTTATAGAACACCGACAGATATGAACTTTCTTGTGGACAGACATGCGGTCATCGAAACTTTTTTCGATTAACTGATTTCTTCCAGGGATCTCTAGTACTTTTGCACAGCGAAGGATCTCTCACGGTTGCTCTGATACCATGCGAGAAAGCACGGGAGAAAATATGTTATTGATATTCTGTTTAATTATAATACAATGAGCCTTATTTATATAATACATATCCTACTCCTATTCTATGTGGGAATATGACTAATTCATATTATTTACATAACCATTTAACATTACCTAGGGCACCATTAGAAAAACCCTAGGGAGTAGATGCCTTTATATAGCAACTTTTGCCCCAGCAAGTTGCCATTGAATCATGTTCATAAAGCTTGACACTTTCGTACAAACGGACAAGTGGAGAATGTTATTTCTAACACCTTCCCCAGGAAAAGCGTCATTACTTCTTTTATTGTCGTGCCTTGAATCGTTTGCACTCAAGTAACACTTGTGAAGTACATAAATGAAATCACTTCAACCGAAGGCATCAAAGTACATCATTACGACACTTTTACCAAAAGCTCTAGAGAGCACAATAGAGAGGGACTTTAAAATAATCTTCTGAAACTCCAAGGTCACATATGTTAGGGCAACACTCATGAAGCATTCTAGTTGATCTCTCGATTAAAAGAAAGTTATTTCCTGTATCTGATGGTACCCTGTAGAGGCGAAACTACGTTGAAGAGAAAGGGTCTCGGGCACCCACCAACTTGACAAGAGTTTTGTTTTATGTATATATAATTCTTATAACTTTTTTATATGGTAAGGTTGGCCCCATATCAATAAAGCACCTGTGGGTACCTTGGTTGAAGGTTTGCCCATTTAGGGCTTTCTCTATGACAAGGCCATGTATCGTTAAAGGGAACTCACATATTTTTTTAGACGATCCATCTTTTTTTACTTTTTTTCCTATTCCTTAGTTGTTTCTCAATTCTACTCCTCCTAACTCGGTCTTTAAGAATCTCCTAAAAAAATATATTCAGACTCCAACTATTTTTCGGCGATCTTCAATTCGACAACATCAAGTAGGTGCTTATATCCATAGTTGTGCAACTTCTCAATTCGTCAGCTTCAAGTGGGTGCAACAACAAAAACAACTATACCTCAGTCCAAATAACTTGGGTTCATTTATATGAATTCTCACTGACCATGTTTCTTCCATTTAAGCTCAACTCGTGTCATCATCATACAGAATAAAAATGGAAGTAAAAAGTAAGTTAATATACATGAATAATACTAATAATATTAATTAAAAAAAATTAAGTTCGACTGGGTGCTTATATACATATTTCTGTAGCTTCATTTTGCCATACTTTTTCCCTAGGCAAGACTTTCTTGACCCATAGCAGAATTGGAGATAGAGGGTTTGTTTCAACTTTTTAGCTAATTATATATTATATGGGGATATTACCCTTGATAGGAGGGTGTGGAGGTCGAGAATTAGAGTAAAAAATTCGTAGGTAGTCGAGAGTTTCCCCTTTCATTACCAGAAGTATTAGTAGCACTCTTATATTTTCATATTCTCGTTCGCTTCAGTTATTTATTTTCCTCCTCCTCCTCCTCCTTCTTCTTCTTTTCTTGAGCCGAGGGTCTACCAAAAACAGCTTCTATATCTTTACCATATAGGAGTAAGGTTTGTGTACACACTACCCTCCCCAAACTCCACTTGTGGGATTAGACTGGGTTTGTTATTGTTATTGTTATATATATATTATATGTGGAGAATATGCTGAAATATTAAAAGGACGAACACTACGAATATCGAGTTTTGTGTAACTGTTTGGATAGTTGGAAAATATCTTAAGCTAAAACAGGAAGATTTCAGGTCCTTTATTTTTTTTAAAATTTATGAAGACATTTCAGGTCCTTTCTTCCTTGTAAAAGAAGCTGGAAACTTTCGAATTTCTATTTTCAGATGAAAACATTTCAACCAACTGAAGTTATAAATCACTGAGGAAGGATTCAATTTCCATGTGAAATGTTGTATCTCAGGAAATTAACATTTTTAAGTTCTTGTTCCTTTGAAGTTTCAGACTCCTCCATTTTAAATTTTTGTAATATGATTTAATTGCACTATGTCTAAATGAATTATGTGAACTGAATTCAAATTAATATTTGTATTGAATTGAAATCTTTGTAGTAGAAAATTATCATCAAACTTGACAATTAACATGGAAAAATATCTTAGCTGC